CTACTCCTTCCAGAACCTTGTTCCACCATCGTCGTAGCATTATCTTCTCAGTGAGCCGTTCATTACTTATTCATTCATTTATTTAACAAATGTTTATTGAGGGTTTACTGCATGCCAGAAACTTTCTAGATGGTGGGGATAAAGACACAGGAGATACGAATCCATGCCCTCATGGACCTTGCATTGCTGGTAAGGAAAGTCAGACAAACAAATACAGTAAAATATGTAGGATGTCAGCTGATGGTGAGGGGGAAAAGTTAATCAGGGACGAGGGAAAGGAGGACTGGGAGTTGTCTACAGTTTTATATAGGATGGTCAGTGAAGGTGAATAAAGATGTAGAGGTGATGAGGGAATGAGCCTTGCAGATAACTGTGTTCCACGAGGAGGGGATAACAAGGGCAAAAACCCTGAGGAGGAAGCATGCTGAGCATGCCCAAGGATGGTGAGGCAGGAGCAAGGGGGAGAGTGGCAGGAAATGGGAGAGCAGAAGACCCTTTTACTCTGGGTGAGATGATACAGTGCTGGAATATTCCGAGCAGAGGAGTGACAAGATCTGACATGCATTTTAACCAGAGTACTCTCACTGTTATGAATACATTTTAGGGGGTGTGTCAGCTATCATTTGCTGCATAACAAGCATCTCCTGGGAATTCCCTGGCGGTCCAGTGGTTAGGACTCTGCACTCTCACTACCGAAGCCCCGGGTTCAGTCCCTGGTCGGGTAACTAAGATCCTGCAAGCCACACAGCTTGGCCAAAGAAACAAACCAAAAAAAAAAAACCCCAAGCATCTCCAAAACTTAGTGGCTTAAAACAATGATTTATGATCTCTCATGATTCTGTGGATTGCCCAGGCAGTTCCTCTGGTGGTTCCACTCTGTAAGTGCTGTGCTCACTCCTAAAGTTGTAGTCATCTGGAGAATCAGCAGGGCTGGAAGGTCTAAAATGGCCTCATACACACTTGACAGCTGGTGCTGGCTGTTGGTGGTGAGCCTCCATTCTCTAACGGGTAGTTCTAATCCTGGTAGACCAGCTTTCTTACCTGGTGGGCAGCATTCTCAGAGAGTGGATGTGGAAGCCAGAAAGCCTCTGAAGGCTCAGGAACTCACACAAGGTCAGTTCTGCCACATGTTCTTGGTCAGAGCGAATCACATGGTCAGCCCAGATTCAAAGGGGTGGAGAAATAGACTCCAGCCTGTGGGTGGGAGACATGGCAAATGCGTGTGCATAGTGGGATGGGAGGGCTTTGTGGTTATTAAATAATCTATCACATGGGTGAGGGCAGAAGCAGGGAACAGTTAGGAGACTACTGCAGAAATTCAGAGAAGAGCTGATGGGGACTTGAACCAGGGTAGTAGTGATGAAAATGATGAGGTGTCAGAACCTGGATATATCGTAAAGGTAGAGCCAGCAGCCTACACCATCCCTTTCCATCACCAGAGCTCCTGGTATCGCTGCTGCATTTAATTCATTTCATTTAATTCTCATTTAATTCTAACTGCTTCCTCTCCCCCTCTCCCGCCTCGTCTTTGTTTTCCTTCCATACACGTTGGACTTTGTCCTCTTCCCTCTTCTCTCCATCTCTACTTTCCCCTGGTGATCCCAGTCACTCCCACACCTTGGAACCTGAGTTGATCTCCAGTCCACCCTCTGTCCTAAGCTTTGGCCCCACATCACCCCTCTCTTTGCCCACCTGTTCTACCTCAAGATGGTGCTGGTATTTAAGACTCAACATGTCTAAGGCTGAAGTCCTTTCCTCCTCTCCACAAGGGATGGCTTCCATTGTCTTGCTTTCTTACAACCATTCTTTAGCCTTCTAAGCATACACTTTTGGTTAATGTTTGATAACTTTCACTCACTTATCTCCACATACAGTCAGTTCCCAATTCCAGTCCTTCTGTGAGCCTTCCCTCACTCCCTACCCATCCTTTCCCATCACCACCACCCCAAATCGGCGCCATTTTTTTTTTTTTTTTTAGTCTCTTGCCAGGAATGTTCTAACGGTATCCCAAGTAGGCTCTCTGCTTGGTGTCTCTAAAATCTGTCCTTCATAGATTAACAGCTTACTCTTCCTAAAGCTCAAAGATCCAAAATGGCTCTCCACTCCTTATTAAATAAAACTTCAAACTCTTAGATCCCCATTCTAGGCGCTTTGCAGACTTTCTCCAACCTGCCCCTAGCCCTGTTTCCCACTATCTGATATATGTCCAAGTAAACTGAAGTTCCTTAGGAGCTCCCCAAACTCCCATCTCTTCTCCTGCCATTTTCTGTGCCTGGGGTTCCCTTTCTAAATCACTATTGTTACAATTCTGTCCATCTTCATGCCACATCTCAAGCCTCTCTGTCTTCTGTGAGTCCCTCTAGACTTGGGTTTGTGTGGTTTTAGGTTACCACACTCATGAAAAATTAGTATTTTCACTAATTGTGTGTAGATATTATCACTTCCATCATGGTATAGGTTCTTAGAGGGCGGGGACCTTGTTTTACTCTTAGTTAATCCCCAGTAGCACCCGTGCACTGTATGCTCAAGAGAAATCACTCAGGGTGTTGAAGGGAAGGGAAAGGAAGGGAAATTAAAGTTTGGTACAGCCAAAATAGGAAGCTGTGTTCCCAGCGTCGTGGCCAAGAATTGAACCTCCAGGTCAGGAAATTACTGCCAGTGGCTCCTTCAAGGAAGTCAGAGGAGCCTTTTGCATGCACTTGAGAAGGTCGTGGCAGTGGATACAGGAGCAGATAAAGCGGAGTCTTCTGGTCAGGGCATGATGGCTCCGGTGAGACCGTGAGGGTCACCTTGCTCTCAGAGATGTGCAACATGCAGCTCAGAGAGGCAGGGGCTGGTTCAAGGTCACGGGGCTGGTCAGACACAAACCTGGGACTGCAGTCCCGACTCTGAGTTCAAGACTTGTCTGTCCCCAAGCTGGGCCTGTTTCATTTGTGAATAAGAAGCACAGAGAAGTCACCCTCTCTGCCCTCTTCCCAGATAACTTTTCATAGTAAAAGAAAAATCAAATACAGTAGGATATGGAATTTAAAATCCCCAAGACATACCCAGGGGAGTGGGGGAGAGGTTTCAATTTTATTGGAATTCTGTTGACTAGGGTTGCAATGACTTTCTTGATATCCTCTAGTCCCTCTGAGGGTACTTGTATCATGCCCCAAAGCTCATAAAATCAGATTTTAATTGAGTTTATCATTTATGGTCAGATTTAACTGATAAGTTCTCCCTTCCACAATTTTATGTTTTGTTGGCGTTTGATCCTCTCGTTGTCACACGACTGATAAAATCAGACCTGGTGTACAAAAAGAAATTTTTACATCATTACTTCATTGATCAAATTCTTTTTTTCCTGATCATGATGTCCATACTCACTCGTGGAAGAGAAAGAAAATTTTTATGCGTAGAAAAAAGAATAAATAAGAGAATTAAAAATGGCATGGTTAACCTTTTGGTATAAAAATGGTATTCACAGTTTTGGATCTTGTTTTTTATCCTAATGTAATAGATCCCTGCCCCTTCTCTCACTTTATTATTTTTTTAATAAATTTATTTTATTTTATTTTTGGCTGCATTGGGTCTTCGTTGCACACGGGCTTTCTCTAGTTGTGGCAAGCGGGGGCTACTCTTCGTTGCGGTGCGCGGGCTTCTCATTGCGGTGGCTTCTCTTGTTTCAGAGAATGGGTTCTAGGCACGTGGGCTTCAGTAGTTGTGGTGCGCGGGCTTCAGTAGTTGTGGCTCACGGCCTCTAGAGCACAGGCTCAGTAGTTGTGGCGCACGGGCTTAGTTGCTTTGTGGCATGTGGGATCTTCCCAGACCAGGGCTCGAACCTGTGTCCTCTGTATTGGCTGGTGGATTCTTAACCATTGCGCCATCAGGGAAGCCCCCTTCTCTCACTTTATATGCCACTGCTCTTTGCAATCCAGGATTTTGGCAGTACTGCTTCATACATGAAAAAATAATTCCATTTCATGATATAAGCAAACAGACTGCCTGCAGAGAAAAAGCCTGTACCTGTTGTGATTTCCATGAAATAAAAAATACTCAATGCGCAAATGGAGTATAACTTTAAAAATGATACGTGGACGTCAAATTGTGTTCTACTTTTGGGAGTAGAATTATAATAGGTTTTAAATTTCTTTTGTACCCTTTAATATAGTTTCCTTACTTTATACGATGATCATGGCTTTTATTTTAAAACTCTAAACCCTCTGAGGAAAGATTTTAAAACTCTCTAGTGTTAGTTTCTGTGTTGCTATTATGACATTTTAAAAAATATTTATGTATGTATTTATTTATTTTGGCTGTGCTGTATCTTCGTTGCGGCATGCCAGATCTTTAGTTGCGGGATGCGGGCTTCTTAGTTGCAGCATGCGGGATCTAGTTCCCCAACCAGGGATCACACCCGGGCCCCCTGCATTGGGAGCGTGGAGTCTTACCCACTAGACCACCAGGGAAGTCCCTATTATGACATTTTTAAGAAGCTATCTGACTGCTACATGTGGCTGTTAGTAAACATGGCCGGCTGGAGGAGAGCTGTGAAACAATAAATTAGAGTAGTAAAAATTTTCATGAGAAGGTTGGTTTGTGCTAGTATTTGCACTTTTTCCCTCTACCATAATAAAATGATATAATAGGAATTTGATGGTTCTGTAATTACAGGTATTGCAAAGGGTTTGAGCTCCAGCCATCTCTTTATTCAGGAATCAACCTTGCAGTTTTGCTGATAGTTGCTGGACAGCAATTTGAAACTTCCATGGAGCTAAGGAAAATAGGTAAAGCTGTTTATGACTGCAGATGTTGATATGCTTTGGTAACACAAGTTCAGCATTAAAAATTATGTCCAAATGACCAACATTATATTTCAAAAGGAACAGTTACTGTATGATAGCACCCCTGAGGCAGTAGCCCAAATAAAATGCCCATTTTCTCCTCTAAAGGCTTCCATAATATGGTGGAAACTAGGAAGACTTTTCATAACTTTATCTAAAATTCAAATTCTTAAGGTGTCCGGCTGAACAGTTTGTTGGGAAGAAAAGGGAGCTTGGAGAAAATGAACGATTACTGGGATGTGGGTCATTTCTTCAACGTCAGCATGTTGGCCAGTGATGTTGGGAAAGCTGTCCAGGCAGCAGAGAGGTTGTTCAAACTGAAACCTCCAGTCTGGTGAGTCAGGTCTATGTGTTTTCATCACCCATGTCAATATCTGATCTTGTTCTGAAAGGTTTCCCCCAGGAGGAAAAGGTGTGAATGCCAAAAGTAATAACAATTGCTACGTTTTTCCTTCTGACTTCTTCATTAAAGCAAAGTTAGGGCAGAAAGAGCAACTCTTGAGGCCTTGCTTGGTTTTATGTGACGGGAGGGAAAGACAGACAGACAGACACCCACACACACAATGTATCCCTACATGCTGTCTCCAAGACAAAACTCTCAGCCCTATTAATCTTTTCAGACCACATAGGTCCTCAAGAGCAGAACGTTCTTGGGTATCAGTACATATTGTGCATTTGTGAGAAAGCAGATAGTAAAGCTAAAAGTACACCAAGAAAATGATTTTCATCACAAATGAAAACTGGAACTGAAACACCAATTATAGATATGGTCGAGAAAATGGTGGCCCAGCAGTGGCCCTAGGTTAGCACATTATACAGCCATTAAAATGTACAAGAAGGAATACTTGGAGACATGGAAATGTGTTCATGGTTTATCATTGAATAAGAAAAGCCAGAGGCAGGGTATATTTTTCTATATCAGTGCTCAGACTTGGACATTATCAGAACCACCTGTGTTGATTAAAACACAGATTGCTGGGCCTAACCCTTCAGATTTCTGGTTCAAAGGGTCTAGGGTGGGGCCTGAGAATTTGCATTTAGAAATTACAAGCTGACCTTAGTCTGGGGACCACACTTTGAGAGCTACTGCTTTATATGGACTCATTTTAATTAAAAACCTCTGTTTCATATGTGACTCAGAGGAGGGTCTGGGAGGGTTGGGCAATAGCTGACTTCCCAATAGACGTTAAGCTCCATTAGAGTTGTGGTTATATTATTGATTGCTATAGTTTTGTAATAGATTCTCAGTAGATATTTGTATAATGAAAAAATGATGAGTCATGGATTTGCTCCAACATATTGACAGTGGCTGTCTCAGGGAGGTAGCAGATTAAGAAGTTTGTAACCTGCTTTTTTTTTTTTTTTTTTTTTTTAATTGATTAATTTATTTTTTGGCTGTGTTGGGTCTTCGTTTCTGTGCGAGGGCTTTCTCTAGTTGCGGCAAGCGGGGGCCACTCTTCATCGCGGCGCGCGGGCCTCTCACTATCGCGGACTCGCTTGTTGCGGAGCACAGGCTCCGGACGCGCAGGCCCAGCGGCCATGGCTCACGGGCCCAGCCGCTCCACGGCATGCGGGATCCTCCCAGACCAGGGCCCGAACCCGCATCCCCCGCATCGGCAGGCAGACTCTCAACCGCTGCGCCACCAGGGAAGCCCCTGTAACCTGCTTTTTTAACTCTTATTTTCTGATTTGTATAAAATGCATCTGGATTACTTACATAATTTAAGATTTTTTACTTTTAACGATCCGTATTCGTCTGTCCCCTTCTATTTCTCAGCTCAGTGGGCCAATCTGGACTCTCAGGGGTAGGAATCTCAGCATTCCTATCTAGTTTGACTGTATTTCTTTCCCATCTGGAGGACATAAATTTGACCCCAAAACCCTATTAACCTCTTGAAAGTTTTCTGAGGCTGAGAGAACACAGAGGCAGGCTGAGCTTCCAGCCCTCCTGGAGTGGCTGCTGTTTGCAGAATTCTAATTTTAAGGTGCATTGTTGCATCTGAGCCAGACAGAGCTGACTCTGGAGAGGATACCTGAGGCTTGAATACATTCCTATTACATCAGAACCTGGAGTGTCTTACAGTGTTGGTACCTATTGTTGTGGGTTCAAGACCACCCTGAGGTTCACGATTTGCTAGAAGAACTCACAGAACTCAGAAAAGCTGTTCTACTCATGGTTATGGTTTATTGCAGTGAGAGTATATAGATTAAAAGCAGCAGAGGCAAAAGGCACATAGGGCAGAACTCAGGAGAGACCAGGCATAAGCTTCCAGTTGTCCTCTCCCAGTGGAGTCATGGACAGTGCTTAATTCTCCCAGCAATGATATATGACAACATGTACAAATTATTGTCACCCAGGGAAGTTCACCAAGCCTTGGTGTCCAGGGTTTTTATTGGGGGTCAGTTATGTAGGCATGAAGCACCCATGTAGCCGACCTTAGTCACTGAGTCCCCAGCCTCTCTGGAGATCACACTGATACAGCATGGCCCAGGGTCCCCACCATGAATCATACTGTTAGCGTAAACTAGCTGGCCTGGCGCAAGGCCCCAGGTAGACAGAGACTCTTATCAGGCAGGATATCCCAAGGGCTTAGAAGTGATCTCTCAGAAGCCACTCAAGGGCCAGACCTTTCTTTGGAATGTATACTTGGACAACCCAGTCCTGCTGAATTAATCCTTTACTACACAGTACCCAAGCAAGTCAGTCAGAGCCTAGCTGATCTGCCTTCCCAGGATAGCTCCAGACCTTATCCTCAAAGGGCAAAATAATACTCTGATACTATCAGCAGAAACACCTCCCCACCAACCCCATTCACTACCAGAGAGGATGTGACCACCACTGCCTGGCAACTGTGTTTTCAAAGAGTTCAGTTTGCCTAAAGATAGTAAAGGTGTGGTGAGATTGAAGACCTTATAAATTCAAAATCTACCAGGTCAGATCTAATTTTTTTAAAAAGAAAGTACATTGAGTTTAATATTAGTGATTGCCAGAGGTCAAAGAGGGGATGGGGATGGGAAGGAAGTTGGTGTAGCTATAGAAGGGAAACCTGAGGGATCCTTGTGGATGGAAGTATTTTCTCTCTTGACTGTATCAATGTCAGTATCCTGATTGTGATATTATTCTAGAATTTTACATGATGTTACCATTGCGATAAACCAAGGGCACGTGGGATCTCGCTGTATTGTTTCTTATAACTATGTAGATCTATAATTACCTCAAAATAAAAAGGGTAGTTAGAAAAGAAGACACTGAGTTTGAAATTTTTTCATTTTGCAGTTGCTTTGAACTTCAAACCACTTGCTCTTGTTAATTAAGATAGCAAATGCTTGCCAGTCTCTATGCTTTGAACACAATGTACCAAAACTGAGGTTTAGCCCAATGTTCGTAAAAGCCTTGTTGTATGTTTGTTGGACAAGCTTATTTTGCCCCCTTTGGGTTTCTTTTAATTAAGTATGTGGCTGGCAAATTATTAAGAAGCACTTGCTACACACTATGAATTTAAGAAATAAGGCTTTTGGGAAACTTCTTTTAAAGGAAGTAGAATTGAATTCCGTTTCTTTGGGAATTAATTTATTGGTGCTCATGATTTTTCCAGGTACCTGCGATCATTCGTTCAGAACTTGTTATTAATTCAGCGCTTCAAGAAACCCATTATTGAACATTCACCCAGGCAAGAACGGCTGAACTTCTGGTTAGATATAATTTTTGAGGCAACAAATGAAGTTACTAATGGACTCAGATTTCCAGTAAGAGATGCTAAATCCATTTTTTTAAGATTAAAAAAAAGAAACTGGGGTTGGTACTATCTAATTATTGAATACTCTGAAAGGAAGAAACCCTTAGAGTAATTGAAAATGTTAAGAGATCCATCAGTCTTACGTAGAATCAGCCAGCGAGAGATCAACTCACTAGAAAAAGCTGGCTATATCCTCTAAAATAGTGGTTCTCAACTAGGAGTGATTTTTGTCCCCCAGAGGCCGTTTGGCAACGTCTGGAGACATTTTGGTTGTCACAACTGTGGGAAAGGTGTTGCTACTGGCATCTAGTGGGGTGGAGGCCAAGGATGCCACTAAACCTCCCACAATGCACAGGACAGTCTCCTGCCCCCAACACAAAATTATCCAGCCCAAAATGTGCATAGTGCTGAGGAGGAGAAACTTGGTTCCACAACAATGCAACACTAATAGTAAAATTTTCGAATTCACAGCTGTTTCCTGTTGAGCTTTGGTTTGCCTCCAATGCCACTAATTACTTTTTAAAACGTCATTGAAAAGCAAAATCGCTTTTAGCTTTTCATTGAGTTTTTGTTTCAATTTTATGATCATCTTATAAGGAGTCATGAGTAAGACATCTAAGCATCCCAGAAACTGAACTTCAGATAATTGTGTTTCGTGTTTATGTCATAAGATTTTGTGAACATTCAGTGTTCAGAATTTCATGAAACATTGAATAAAAGATTATGTTGTTTGAAATGATTATGATAATGATTTTGTGCCTGGGCAATACATTTTTAAATCTTCTGTGAATTATGAAATATTTCAAACCTACTGAAAGGTACAAAAAAATAATGGAACAGACCCTCATGTTATCTCTACCCAGCTTAGCAATAAACATGTTGCTTTATTTGCTTTGGAAATTCATTCTCCCTCTCTCTCTCTCCCCCTTTTTCACCCCGTTCCTCTTCATCTCTCCGTCCTTCTCTCCTTCCTTCCTTCCCTCCCTCTCCCCCAGCAAAATAAAATATGACTGATGGACTGTCACCTCACTCTTCATCCTCTTGCATTTTTTGCAGACTTGGGTACCTACCTGTGGATCCTCAAGTTTACTTCCTAATTTCTCTCTAAAAGTGTAGCCTTCCTCTTTCTTCTCTGTGACGTCCTCAGGCAAGCCTTTCTTGGCCCCTCTGTCTAAAGAAGTGTCCCCCACCCCTTCCTCACCATTATTCTGCCTTTTTTTCTTCAGAGGTCTGTATATTACCTTACTGCATATCCTTATCTGTTAGTTATACTATCTGCCCCATCAGAACATAGACCTCCCATAGGGAAGGGATTGTGGGCCGCCGTATCCACCGGTCCTAGAGCAGGGTTGCTGCATAGTAGGTACACGTAGAGGATCTGCGGAGTCCAGAGCTTCCCACGTCCTCACTGGGCAAGATAACCTATGTGGCATGTTCCCACGCATTACAGAAATCTGTTCTTTTAGGTCTGGTGATGGAACCAACCAAAGTCTTCCAGCCTTCGTATGTCTCTATAAACAGTGAAGCCTGAGGAGAGGACAGTTTCTCTGTGGCACGTCTCACCCATGGAAATGGTAAGAAAACAATCATAAACAGCTCTCTCTTTATTCTGTATTATTTAATGAAAAATTCAGTTTTGAAGTAGGAGAGTCAACTATATTGTAGTACTTGAAAGAACAGGCACCCATGCCTAACTTCTGAGTTACAGGACTATATGAGAGAGTGTAATCACAGATGGAGGAAAGGAAGCAGGGTTTTCCAAATATATATATTTGTATTATATGTATAGCTATGTGTGTATATACATATGTGTATATACACGTGTGTGTGTGTATATATGTGTTTATATACGAATGAATATAAACTTGTGGAAAAAAATGAGTTAAACCATGAAGGAAGTGGATAAGGAATAAAGTGCAAGTCCCTCCAAATCCCCCAAACTTGGTATGTATTCCCATCACCAATGATTTGATGGATGTCCATCTATACCTTTCTCTAAGCTCAGTTATATATGTATAATGTGTGTATACATGTATCCCTTGTATATATAATATACATATGTATAGGGGGAAGAAGCATTTTCATTAACGTGAGATCATATGGTGAGATTTGTTATTTTGCAACTTACTCTTTTTAAACGATCCATACATCGTGGACAGTTTTTCACATAGCACACACTGATCCACCCGATTTTTAAAATGTGATGTTCCCTATATTCCCATATCATGGTGGTGCATTTCTGGGTATGGATGAGCCATAATTTATTTTACCACTGTCCTGCTAATGCACATTTAGGTTTCAGTTTTGCATTCTAGCTGATGGTAAATACGCCAGTGCACATCCTGGTGGTTACACCATACCACGTGCGTGTAGATGTTTCAGGAGCAAAGAGTCCCAGAATTGGACCTGCTGGCTTCAAGACTACATATGTTTAAAATTTGATAGCTACTGTCAAATTCGTACCATTCTAATTTATACCCACACCAGCAATATAGGAGTGGAAACATTTTCTTTGCCCATTAAAGATATTACGCAAATGCTGGGCCAGGCCTCACGTTTTGTGGTAACAGCTATATTTTCATCTGTACTTGTCTAAAGTACTTCATCAGATTTTTTCTTTAATAAAATATTTTGTAGTAATAAAAATAGGTAGCACCTTTGACAAGTACATTAGATCTATTTGCTATGTCTGTGTTTTCATGGAGTGTGGGGAGAGTTCTGCCATCAACTTGGCAAAGAAGGATTTTTTTCCCCCTGGAAACGAGAGTGAGCAATTATGTCTTAATCAGGTAAAAATAAGCAATATCTTCAAAAATAAAATACAACATCAGAGAATAAGGAGAGGCTTAGAATCATATTGGAAAATCTTTATCAGAGGGCTTCCCTGGTGGCGCGGTGGTAGAGAGTCCGCCTACCGATGCAGGGGACATGGGTTCGTGCCCCGGTCCGGGATGCAGCGGAGCGGCTGGGCCCATGAACCATGGCCGCTGAGCCTGCGCGTCCGGAGCCTGTGCTCCGCAGCGGGCGGGGCCGCAACAGTGAGAAGCCCGCGTACAGCAAAAAAAAAAAAAAAATCTTTATCAGAAATAGTCATGATACAACAACTTTCCATTGTTCAATGGGTATAAAGTTTCAGTTATGCTAGGTAAATAGGTCATAGAGAGCTGCTGTACAGCACAGTGCCTGTAGTTAACAATATGGGATTGTGCACTTCACATTTGTTAAGAGGGTAAATACCATATTTGTTCTTACCACACACACAAATAAAAACAAAACCCAAGGGACACAAGGACACTTTGGGAGGTGTTGGATATATCTAGTACCTTGATTGTGGTGATGGTATCACAAGTGCTGGCATAGGTCCAAACTCATCAAATTATGCACATTAAATAGGTGCAGTTCTTTCTATATCAGTTATACTTCGATAAAGGTACATATGAAAAATATATAGTCATGAATGATATTTCCAGTTGCCTTAGTCTGCTTGAGCTGCTGTAACAGAACACCACAGACTGCGTGGCTTAAACCAGTGGTCCCCAACCTTTTTGGCACCAGGGACCGGTTTTGTGGAAGACAGTTTTTCCACAGACCTGGGGGGCGGGGGGGATGATTCAGGCGGTAATGTGAGCGATGGGGAGCGGCAGATGAAGCTTCGGTCACTCGCCCGCCCACTCGCCTGCCCACTCGCCCACTCTCGGCTCATCTCCTGCTGTGCAGCTGGATTCCTAACAGGCCGCAGACCGGTACTGGTCCACAGACCGGTACTGGTCTGCAGCCCAGGGTTTGGGGACCCCTGGCTCAAACAACAGAAATTTATTTCTCGCAGTCCTGGAGGCTGGAAAGTCTGAGATCAGGGTGCCTGCATGGTCAGGTTCTGGTGAGAACCCTCTTCCTGGTTTGCAGATGGTGGTCTTCTTGCCCTCTTCTCACATAATGGAAAGAGAGAGAGAGAACTCTCTCCTGTCTCTTCTTATATAGGGTACTAATCCCATCACGAGGGCTCCACCCTGGTGACCTAATCACCTGTCAAAGGCCACCATCTCCAAATACCATCACACTGGGGGTTAGGGCTCCAACATAGAATTTGTGGAGACACAAACGTTAAGTCTATAACACAAATGTAAGCCAGTAACCTTGCCTAATATTTAACAGCGAAGCAACCTTCTCCTCATTGATAAGAGAGTCAATAGCCATTAGTGAAGATGAGCTGCCGTAATGTGCTGGGGTATTTTTCCTGCACTGTGTGCTTTAAATATTTGAGCAAAAGAGAAGGAGCTAGAATAAGATACATACATGGTGTTCATACAGATATATCTCATTTGAAGAATGCATGTATCTTCTATTAAATTTGCCTCTTTGGTTTCTTTTTTAACCTTTTAAGTATAACACACACAGAAAAGTGCATAACTCATAAATGTACAGTTTGATGGATTTTTTATCAAGTGAACACGCGTAAGTAACCAGTGCAACCCAGGGAAGGGAACATTAGCAGGCCCCCACCCCCCAAAGCCCTACTTATGTTCCCCCCTCCAGGTACCACTGCCATGAAGCACCCTGTCCTCAGTGTTGGGATTCTTGTAGTAGAGGCCAACCTTGCTTACATTTTTTGTGTCATTGATGCCACTGTGACGCAAGAGAATTTTCAAAATTCTATTCTGTAACCTCACTATTCCATTGATAGATGTAACAAAACACCTCATTTTTAAATTTTTTTAAATTGATCTATGTCACCTCAATTTTTTCATATTTCTTTTTTTTTTATAAATTTATTTATTTTTTTTGGCTGTGTTGGTTCTTCGTTTCTGCGCGAGGGCTTTCTCTAGTTGCGGTGAGTGGGGGCCACTCCTCATCGCGGTGCGCGGGCCTCTCACTATCTCGGCCTCTCTTGTTGCGGAGCACAGGCTCCAGATGCGCAGGCTCAGTAGTTGTGGCTCAAGGGCCCAGTTGCTCCGCGGCATGTGGGATCTTCCCAGACCAGGGCTCGAACCCGTGTTCCCTGCATTGGCAGGCAGACTCTCAACCACTGCGCCACCAGGGAAGCCCCATCGTTTTTTAATTTTTATTGGGGTATAGTTGATTTACAATGTTGTGTTAGTTTCAAGTGTACAGCAAAGTGAATCTGTTATACATATATCCACTCTTTTTTAGATTCTTTTCCCATATAGGCCATTATAAAGTATTGAGTAGAGTTCCCTGTGCTATATAGTAGGTCCTTATTAGTTATCCATTTTATATATAGTAGTGGGTATGTGTCAATCCCAATCTCCCAATTTATCCCTCCCCCCGTTACCCCCCGGTAACCATAAGTTTATTTTTTACATCTGTAACTCTATTTCTGTTTTGTAGATAAGTTCATTTGTAGCCTTTTTTTTTTTAGATTCCACATGTAAGCGATATCATATATTTGTCTTTCTGTGTCTGACTTACTTCACTCAGTATGACAATCTCTACGTCCATCCGTGTTGCTGCAAATGGCATTATTTTGTTCATTTTACGACTGAGTAATATTCCATTGTATATATGTACCAAATCTTCTTTATCTATTCCTCTGTTGATGGACATTTAGGTTGCTTCCATGTCCTGGCTATTGTAAATAGTGCTGCAGTGAACATTGGGGTGCATGTGTTTTTTTGAATTATGGTTTTCTCAGGGTATATGCCCAGGAGTGGGATTGCTGGGTCGTATGGTAGTTCTGTTTTTAGTTTTATAAGGAACCTCCATACTGTTCTCCATAGTGGCTGTATCAATTTACATTCCCACCAACAGTGCAAGAGGGTTCCCTTTTCTCCACACCCTCTCCAGCATTTATTGTTTGTAGATTTTTTGATGATGGCCGTTCTGACTGGTGTGAACACCTCATATTTTGACAAGTAGTTGTGGAAAAAACTAATCCTATTAAAGTGACTCTTCATACTTTTAGAGCAAAATGGTTTTGTTCTCATGGAATTCTACAAATCTATAATGGTTGCAGGTCTTTAATGGGAATTTCCATTGGTACATATAGTATCTCACTAGTTGTAAATGTGTTACTTTGTGTATGTAGTCTGTAATAAGAAATAGAAAGAACTCTATAAGCAGCAAATGCTAGTTTTCCTTGACTGAGGAAATGTTTTGCACAGTGCTTGGTAGTTGTCAGAGCAAGTGTCTGAGAGAAATATAAATTGCCTTTTTTTCTTTGAGAGGAAGGCTTTGCTTTTGCCTTCATTTACATTTTAAAAATTCTGCAGGTTGTGGAAGCAAGCAGATTAGCCTGGAGTGAAATGATAACTTCTCTGCACAGACTTGCAGTTCTTCCCGGTGTGCTGTGGTGGTGGGAAGCAATCACACAGGCACACGTTCACCTGCAGACAGCGCCGCTGTAACATTAGATTAAGGTCTGCTTCATCAGCCGGGGATTCAGAAACGTACGCTGGTCAGTGTTTAACCACCAGCTCTCCAGGGGATATGGGAGCAGAGGGCCGATATGTAGTGTTTACTGATTTCTGTGGTGTAAATACTCCCGTCATGGCCAGTTTCACGCAAGCAACATCAGGTCACCGAGCACAGGGTTAGGAAGAGACGTGCACAACTGGCCTCCCAAGCTGGTGCGAGCTCGCCCAGCACAGCGATGCGGAGAGGCTGCACAGAGCAGGCGCAAATGCAGTGTTTCTCCCTCAGCTTCTCGTGGGCCCCAGAGTCACCAACAGGTGCACTGTGGCCACCATTGCTATCCATACGGGTAGGGCTGCTGGTTTTGGAAAGCTCTTTGGGAGGTGCCTTTTATGCTTATATTAGCGACTGGAACATCTCACACAAAAAGTCTATGCTTTTAACAACAACCAAAAAAAAAAGTCTATGTTTTTAACACAAAAATCCCCCCTCCCTGAAAGTCTGCATCCTGGGGGTAGGAGGGCAGAGGCTGAGTCAGCACCTAGGGGATCCTGAAGGAGTCCCCTCCCTCTGACTTCCCGGCCCATTTCTCCAGAGCCCACCCCGGCTCTGCTTCCAATGCACTGTTACTGGGGGCTTCTGGCACTGTGGAAAGCTAAAATCTTGAATCTGTTTCCTCATCGTGATTTGGTGAAATATCCCCTCTCAGGAAAGATTAGAATGCTGCCTTACAGGAGGCTCGGGACAGGAGGAGAACAGTCACAGCTTTCCTGATTGACCCGCCCGGACACCACCAGATAGCTCATGAAAAACTCCCCTTGCAGACACAGGAGAGCACAGACTTCGCGGTTCCATTTGTATAATATTCCAGAACAGGCAACACTCTCCACAGTGGGACACGTCAGAATAGCAGTTGCCTTTGGGTCGACAGGAGTGGCTGGGAACAGGGGATCTGAGCGAATCTTCTGGGCTGCTGCTAACGTTCTGTCTCTTGGTTTAGATGCTGGTTACAGTGGCTTTTCATTTTGTGGAAATTGATTGAGATGATTACTGTAGCCTTTTCTGAATGCATGCCGAATTTCAGCTTAAAAGTTTAGTAATGATTTAAAAAACACTTGTAGTGGCCCTCTTGATATTCCCCAATCATTATTGGATCCTGTGACTTTGCAGATAAAACTCAAAGTCTTTTATTAAGTATCGAGCCCCTATATAACCCTGTCCTCCTTCTCCTCCCTCCTTCTCCTCTTGCTCCCCGACCCTCAGCCCCAGCCAGACCTTCATCTGTCATCTCACAGTCCCCTGAGCTGGCCCTGCAGGAGTTCACGTCTGCACTTCTGTTCTCATCCTTCTCCCTCCCTGGAATTCGTTCTTCCAATTACCCAAGTCCTAACTTTTGCAGAGGTATCTCTAACCACCCTTTCCCGCCTTCTGTCCTTCCATTGAATGTCTGTTCGCTACCCAGTTGTCTGCATCATGTGCAAAGTACATCCTATCGCTTATTTATCCGTTTTCCAAAGTGTCTCCCCAGCTTCTCTGCAAGCCCATGCACGACTTCTATATTTGTATGTCTGTAGGACCTATGAAGCAGGAACCCCCCACCCAATCCCTATTGATTATGATGTAAAGGGAAAGCGGAGGGGAGCTCCGTGTGGTTTACTTCTTTTTTAAAAAATTTTTTTAGATTTAATTTTTTTGGCCTCACCACACAGCATGTAGGATCTTAGTTCCCTGACCAAGGATCAAACCCGTGCCCCCTGCAGTGGAAGTGCAGAGTCTTAACCACTGGACTGCCAGGGAAGTCCCTCCGTGTGGTTTACTTCTTAACCAGTAAAGCTTCCTCCCAAATCGAGAAGTTCCCTAAAGGTACCCTAGAGTAAACCTACTTGAAAAGTTGTGTGGTTGAGCTTTCTATATACATACAGCCTCTTTCAGGCTCTCTCGAATCTGCCCTCATTGATATTTCTGTACCTGAATCCAAAGCAGACTCCTGTTCTCCACCACTACCCTCTTTCAGTGACTTGGAACACATCCCTCCTCTGAAATATACTCAGTCTTTCTATAAAGATGGGTCTGATGTGATAGCTTTCATGTTTTCATCCACTTGCATCTTTCACAGCTCTCAGTGATTCTCACACAGAGGGGAGGCTTAAAGTCCTGATGATGGCCTCCAAAGGCCTGCATGATCTCCCTAACCTTCTCTCCCACTCCCCCTTCACTCACTCCACTCCCATCTCACTCCCCTCCTTGCTGGTCCCCAAACATGCAAAGCACACTGCTGCCTCAGGGCCTTTTGCACTTGCTGTTTCCTCTGCCTGGAACTGGTCCCCCAGTTACCTGCATGGCTCACTCCCTCACCCCCTTTAGCTTTCTGCTTGAAAACTCATGACTTCCTGCCCCACCTAATGCTCTTTGCTGTGTTATTTGTGTTCATAGCACTTTTCACCCTCCACCATGCTCTTCACTTACTATTTGATTTATTACCTATCTTCCCTCACTCGATTGTAAGCCCCATGAGGGCAGGGGTTTTGTCATTCTCTGCCATGTCCCTGCTGGTATGTTGCCTAGTGCATAATAGGTGTTTCATCAACATGTCTGGATGGATCCTCTCCCATTGGGAACGATCCTCCCAACTGTGCCTGTTGTCATTGCTCCAGGATGGCAGGAAACTTGTCACCCGATCGCTTGTGGCTGTTCTGAGCCATACGCTCAGTTATCTGGCTCTCACACTTCTCTGGGAGGCTTAGCTGGTCATTTATGGCATTCCTCAGGCTAACCTAATGTATTTGCTTATTTAAAATTATTCTCTGTTGTTGTAATGTATTGGTATTGTAGCCTATGGCTCTTCTAAAACTGGGAATTCAGACACTCCTTGTGAGGCTTAGCTTTGTTCATAGTTTAAGGGCAAGGGATGGTGGTGGAGGGAGAGGACAGAGTTATATATGTATTTTTTAAGTGCATCTTGTACAGATTGAAATCCCAGTTAGTCTTTGTATTAGTCATGGTAGACTAGACGCTAAAACAAACAACCCCCAAATATCAGTTTATCTATGATGATAAAAGTTCATCTATGTCTCATGTCATGTCCAGGTTGGCAGGGTCCGCATTCCATCTGGTAGTGGATGGGGAAAGAGAATGTAGAGGAGAGGATTGCTGTGGAGGTTTCTAATGAGCCAAGCCCACAGGTGGAGCACATCACTCTTGTTCACATCCCATTGGTCAGAACTCCATCGAATGACCCCACCTAACTGCACAGGAGGCTGGGAAATGTAGTCTAGTTATGTGCCCAGGGAGAAAAAGAAATGAAGATTGGTGAACACTGACTGGTGTCTGCCACATTCTTGCCTCTCCAAACATTTTTGTGGGTCATTCAAGTTGGGTGGGCTGTTCCCAAACTCATCTTAGAGTTTTCCTGATACGTTGACAGAAGATGAAAGGCTGCTCACTGTGTATGTACTGTATGCCTGTTGTTTCTATTTCATATTTAGATCATTTGTTCTAAACTGGATAAGAGATACAAATGAATTTTTACAATAGGTTAGAAAATGTTTCTGGTGTTCCAAGTTATGCGAAATATCTTGCTTTAACTGCTAAATTCTATTGAAAGTAAAAAATAGCAGAAGCAATTGACCATAGAATGAAAGCAAAAATGATTCTTTGCATGGAAAACATCAAACCACTGACTTTTGTCCTTGATACCTGCAGAAACAAATTCATGAATGGAATTTTACAGCCTCTTCCATTAGAGGAATAAGGTAAGAACATAAGAGAAGATGTAATTATTGTTTTAATACAAATAATGATGTTGTTTTTATCACTTTGTTTGTACTTATTTATAATACGTGGTGTTCTCATTTTTAACAGAATCCAAAACAGACTATTTTCTCTCTTGTTGCCCTGCCCGAGCTTGTTCATCATGTGCTGCTGGTAAGGCTTCTCGGCTTGTTATAGCAGAGTAGCTGTTTTTGTATCCAACAGACGAAACTCTCTTGTCTCAAACTTTTTTTTTTTTTTTTTTTTTTTTTTTTTTTTTTTTTTT